TAAAAATAAAGCCGCAATAAAACGAGTATCACAATAAAGCAAGTCAAATGACTTTTTGGTTTTCCACGCGTATGAAAGTTATGTTTATACCATACTGTAGTCAGCTAATTATGCAATAGCATCATGTCTTTAAAAATGTACATACCTTATTGGTACAAAATGTTAACCATCATCTGAGCTTTCGGTGAGTCCTAACCACTGAGCACAGATCACCACAATAAATATCATAATAATGAAAAAGTTGAAGATATTGTGACAATTACCAAAATGTGACACAGAGACACGAAGTGAGGAAATTTCATTGGGAAACAAACAAACAAAAAACCAGTGCTGATAAATTGCTTGACCCAGCATTGCCAGAAATCTTAAATTTGTAAATAACACAGTATCTGTGACACGCTAAAGCCAAGTCCCATAAAACAAGGTATGCCCATATTTTAAATTTCTTTTGGTTGCGGAATGGTGTTTCTTTGAGCGCAACACAAGACCGGGCCATGAGGGGCTCTTGATTTATGCAGGTCATACTAGTATAACGTTTATAGCAGGTGCTCTTAATGCTGGACTCGAGGGAGGACCTTGGGTTGCTTATAAATCCTCATAATTGTATGCAATTTTTGTGGTCATGTGTACGTGTATATTTTGAAATGATGGGAACCTCCATGCTCATAGCGTTTATCAGGTTCTTAAAGAACTCATGCTTCTTCTAAAAAAATATGAATGGACTGCCACTGGGGAGAGAGAAGGCATAATCTCAGGGCAAAGGGCCACATAAAGAAATGTAACTACAGAAGATACCTTATTACTAATCGTGCCGCAAAAGCTTAAGAGGCTAGTACGCATCTGTGTATTTTGTCAAAGATACCGATGTACTCATTCATTCACCACCTCCCTCTTCCCTTTCCCCTCCCCTTAAATTCCTCTTCTGATTGATTTCCTTGGTATTTGAAAACGCATTCAGTGTTTTGTTTTGTTTTGATTTGCTTTGTTTTTTTTTTGAAAAACATAATTCATGGGTGCGCTAAATAAAGTGGGGGAAAGGGCCACTGGTATTTTGGGGGACTAAAGAATGTGGGGAAGAGCAGTTACTCACAAGCAAATCAGACACTTCCTCTAGTTTGAGAAAGGCTTCATGATGAGCCCCAGAACAAGGGAAAGCACAGCAAATAGGAGTGAGTTTCGGGGTCCTCAAACTGATCACCACGTCTCATCCAGGTATGCCGGAAGGCATTTTTAGTTATTACTCTCCTCCTGAAAGGGCTAATGTATCACACCAGTTACAGAAATCTTAACACAATGCATCCCAGCTTAGACATCAAGTTATACTAACTGGACAAACAGTTCAATTATGGACGGCAAAGAGCACCAACGGGAAGACTAAGAACCAGGAAAACCTGCCATTGCTTCGCTAAGTTTGTTCAAACCACCTATTCAAGCGTGTTATTCAAACCCACATGGGAGGCACCGAATGGCTCCCAAGTCTTTCACACACGCCTTCCTCCTTCATCCGCCTCTTTTCTCCCGGCAGAGCAGCGCCCACAAGAATGCACCGTTTTCTTACTCAAGACCAAAAATTCAACTTCGTGTCTTAGGAGAAGGCCATCAGCAAATCCTCGTCTGCAGGGTTCTATGAGCAGAGTCCCAGGCACGCCGAGGGCATTTGTGAAGTGCTTATTGAGTAAATGAGTAGCCAAATGAATAATGAGCAGACATCTTTCACTGACCCCTGCCACCATGGGCAAGTCACATTAGAGGCAGCCCTGGGCAAGGGAGAGCAGCCACTTCCTGGGAGTGGCTTGAGCCCTAAGGGGTGATGCTCTCCCCAGAGGTTTGATGAGGTTAGGAGGTACTGCCTCCTAAAGGAACGTACCGAGGGAAGTCTGGGGGAAAGAGGGTGTGGTAGACAGAAATCATGCTGCCTCTACCAAAGATGGCCGCATCCTAATCCCCAGCATCTGTGAATGCTGAGGGAGCATTAAGGTTGCAGCTGGAATAAACGTTGGTAATCACTTGGACCCCGGATGGGGAGATTTTCCTGGATTATCTAGGAGAGCCCAAAGTAATCACAAGGTCGTCAAAGGAAGAGTAGGGGCAAAAGCGAGGGCCACGGTGACGCACAACAAGGACTTGACCGGCTGCTGCTGGCTCTGAAGGTGCGGGAAGGGCTCCGAGCCAAGGAATGTGGGCAACTTGCAGAAACTGTAACAGGCAAGAAAATGGATCCTCTCCTAGAGACCACAGAGAGAAAAACAGCCTGCCCACACTTCAAAACTGGTCTTGAACTTCTGACCTCCAGAATTTAAGGTAATAAGTTTATGTCGTTTCCAGCTACTGAGCTTGTGGAGGCTTGTGGCCGCAGCCCTATGGTACAGAAGGTCCGTGAAGAGCAGGGAAGGACGGAGAGGCTGGGAAGACTACTTTTGTCATGACTAGTCATGGGACCTCAGGGAGGTCATTTCATGGTTTTCTCATTGCTACAGTGGGCCAAAACTAGCCACCTCATCAGACTACTTCCGATACTAAATGGGATCGCATATGGCAGTGGCCCAGGATCCTGGGCTGTCACACTGGGTACTCATCATTGCTCTCTCTTTCCCTCTACTCCCCTCCCCTTCGCAGCCACTGGGTACCAGGATGCAGCGCAGGGACGCAAAGGAAGAGAAAAAAGGGAGAAGATAACATGAATGGAGATAAAGAGCCAATCCCGAGGGGTCTAGGATGGGGAATCCACACCACTCACTGCTGCCTGGTGTAGGGGACACCCATCCTGTGGTCTCTCTAGGGTTTTGTAAAGTGAGGGTCTGAGGGGCTTTATCCTTTGGCGGAAAGGGGGTAGAAAAGGAAGAGGCTAGAGTGTGAAGGATAGGCGATGTTTGGGGTGGAACAGGCGAGGAAGAGGAAGAAAAGAAACATAGGGTGGGATCCAGGCTGGAAGAAAATAGGGGTGGCATCTCCCCATTACGGAGGCTACACTGCTGCTCAGAAATGAAGGGAGCTTCCAAACAAGCTGGTTGTTCCTCTTTCTTTTTTGTCCCTGCCCCTACACAATCCTCCCCTTCCATTTATGCACATGGTAGACCACAGTCATGCACATACATCCATGAACTTGTCGAAGGTAGCTCAGGTGTTCCGGGACACTGAGGGAGTAACAGGCGCTTACATTGATGTCAGGTTTCAAAGGTTATGACGGACCTTTGAAAAGCACTGGAGAAACGTTCCCTTGGGAACAATAACGGAAAACGAGTTAAATCCTATTATATCTCTGGACCTGTCATTATGATTCCTTTTTCTAAGGTGGTGTGGGAGATTATCTATCTATCTATCTATCTATCTATCTATCTATCCATCCATCCATCTACTTACCTACCTACTTATCTACCTATCGTCTAGTTCACAATATGGGCAAGATTTCTGCCACAAATGACAATGTTATGCTTTGTACCCTCAGGCTACTAGGAGAAGGGTAGAAAGGAGAAGAGTAGAGAATGCAAGCTTCTAAGTTTAAATGAAACAGCTCACTCCCTTTTAGACTCTGCAGCCAATGTAGATTTCATGACACAGAGCTGTAAACGCACTGGGACAATTTCAAGAGAGAACATCCAAATTGTAATAAAAATCATTGCTACGGCTTGGATGTACTTTGTGTTCAGATATTTTTTTATTAAATTTTGTGATATTGCACAACTTTGAATAGGTCATTTTGTGGTTAGGACAAATCTATTTCTATTAACGCATTAAATTTGAAGACATAAGGTGGCTTCAGCCCATCTTTTAAGTTTATTATGTTGCAGAAATCACAAGAAGAAACTCACAAACTACTGTTTCTTTTAAAGGAATATTTATAAATTGCCACATGACTGTGTAATGTATCTAGCTTCAAATTATACCGACAAGATGATTTCCCTGTCTTCTTTTTCAAGTCAACCTAAAATGGAATTAAGTATCACTTAAAGACATTAGCTATTGGGATCTTTCAATGCTTTTTAGAAGGACAGAGGAAAGTCTTCTAAAGTGACCATGACCTGTTTAAGTAAATATTTTCCCCAAAGGTTCACTGTATAATTGAACTTGAGATGACACGGGTAAACACACAGACATGCTGTCATATTTTAGGAAGTAATTTACCATTTCCTCTGATTTGGGATAGCCCTTTAAAACATACAAAATCTGCTGCAATTTCTCACAATACTGCTTTTGGGTAACCAACAGTGCGGATAAATTGGTTAATCAACAGGCTCAGAAATCTTGGGGAAGACACGTCACCGCTCCTTTTCTCCCTCTGACCTTCACTCCACTATCCCCGATGGCTTTACAACTGAGTTTACAGATCAAAAGATTTTTTTTCTACAAATATTCACAAACTTCTGTTGGAATATGCAGAGGTTGCCGCAAAAGTCAGCATTTACTTAGAGTAAAGAGCTTGAAGTCTGAGCCAGTAGAGTCATCAGCAGGCTGATCAAACCCTGAAAAACAGCTTGCGTAGCTGAATTCTACAGGTATTCACCTTTGTCCCCCAAAGAACCCTGCTTGCGGCAGTCAAAACCAAAGTGGGAACTTAACAAAAATGAAAATTGTGGTAGCGAAATACACTAACAAGGTTAATCTAACACATTGCAAAAAATTGGGGAGGTTCAAGTGGTTTCTATATAACCACAGTACTGATTTAGAAAAACCCCAGAGAAACAGCTGCATTTTGATATACAACCTGCCTTGCTTGAATAGGAAACCCCGTATTTTCAGGGTGTGTAAGTCTTGAGATGCTAGTCTTCGAACATAAGCCCGGGGGAAATTGCGTGCATCGCTTATTGGGAAATAACAGGCTAAAAAGACCCGGAGAAGTTCACAGCCATGTACGAGGCAAACAAATATGCGCCCCAGAGATCAGATCGTCCGTTTCTTTTACTACAGAGTGGCAAAGATGAGAAAAAAAAAATCATCAGTTCTGCTGACCCAGTCGGTTTGCTTAAGAAAACTGTGCCCATACCCCTGGATTCTCTGATTACCTGGGAATATCTCCATTTCTGGCATTTGGTGACAACTGGTTGAGGCAGACCTGGCAAAATGCTTTCCAGCTGCTGGTAGATTAGCTCCCGCACGTCCTCAGTGCTGTGCTCCAGGTATGTGACTGCAAATGGGACAGTGGTGTGAACCACCAGGGAAGGTCCCACTTCTGATGACTCTGGTATGAGAGGGACACAAAGACGCACCTTAAAGCGGGTAACACAGAAGCATCTGTCAGCGTTTCAAACCGGGTTTAAGAGTAAATCGTTGTAATCAGATAATACGACAGAAGAAAAACAGAGTCTAATCTCTGACCACAAAACTGGGCTACCTCTGAAATTCAAAGTCAAGCTTCTCCGAAGAGAACAGAGTTACGATGTTATTTCATGTCATGTCATGTCATTTCATTTCATTTTTCATTTCATTTCATCTTATTTTATTTTAAGTGTATTTACTTTTGAGAGAGAGAGCGAGAGAGAGAGAGAGAGAGAGAGAGAGTGTGTGCACGCACAACTTGGGGGGAAGAGCAGAGAGAAAGGGTGAGAGAGAATCCCAATCAGGCTCTGCACTGTCCACACAGAGCCTGACACGGGGCTTGATCTCACAAACCACGAGATCACGATCTGAGCTGAAATCAAGAGTCAGACGCTTAGCTGCTGAACCCCCAGGCACCCCCCAACATATTTTAAAGAACAAATTTTAGGTCTTGCTAAAAAACTGGAAGGAAGGAAAAGAAGAACACCTAATAAGTTCTGCCTTGGGTATAATCAAATTTATCAGTGTGTTCATCTTCTCTCATCCACTAAATTATACGTTCTCTAGGCAGAAGCTGTTTCTTTTTTTAAATTTTTTTTTAACGTTTATTTATTATTTTTTTGAGACAGAGAGAGACAGAGCATGAAGGGGGAAGGGGCAGAGAGAGGGAGACACAGAATCAGAAGCAGGCTCCAGGCTCTGAGCCATCAGCCCAGAGCCCGACGTGGGGCTCGAACTCACGGACCGCGAGATCATGACCTGAGCTGAAGTCGGACGCTCAACCAACTGAGCCACCCAGGTGCCCCCAGAAGCTGTTTCTTATCACGTATAGCTTATATTCTCCTTAAATTCTGAGAACAAAGTAGATGTGCAGTAAATATGTATTCATTTTATGTTAAATGGATTGCAAAATATTTTGTTGAAATTATATTAGAATAAAATATCTTAGGGATGCCTGAGTGGCTCAGTGGGTTGAGCATCTGACTTCAGCTCAGGTCATGATCTCACGGTTCGTGGGTTCAAGCCCTGAGTCGGGCTCTGTGCTGACAGCTCGGAGCCTGGAGCCTGTTTTGGATTCTCTGTCTCCCTCTCTCTCTGCCCCTCCCTGGCTCGTGCTATGTCTCTCTCGCTGTTTCAAAAACAAATACACATTAAAAAAAATAAAATAAAGTAAAATATCTTTACCACATAAAAAAATCAAGCTTCTCTCTAAAAATGGGCTTGACCCCATAGCATTAAGAGAAAAAGCTCCCTCATTCATGACACGGAGATACTTCCCAATTTTGGTTGCCGTCAAATTTTTTTTTTTTTTTGCTATATTTTCGTAATTTCAAATAATGTACATCCACTTTGTACCTTTCACTCTTTCCTAGAATATAGAAAATCAAATGAAGTTTTAAGCTGAAAGCAGAGTGACCAAGGCATTAAAAAGTACAGTCTTGGCAGGAACGTTAAGAGTTCGCCTGTTGTTATTATTTGTTTAAATCACACAGAAGAGGAAGTTGGGAGTAAAATAGTAAGAGATCTGAAATGCATGAAACAACATTAAGATATTTGGTTCTCCCCCCACCCCTTGCCGACACAAAATATTAATGTGTATAAGGTACCGATGGGGGTTGGCAAGCCCGATTCTGAAAATTCTAATTTAGGATTCTAAAGGCTACGGCAATGATCTATTGGAGGCTGGCTTGTACGGTTTTTACACATTAAAAAGCAAAAAAACAACCCGTTGAACAACATAGGCCACGTGCTTGCTATATGCCCACTTACTCTCTTTACCTTGCAAGGTTTTTGTTTTGTTTGCTGTAAAATCAGAATGTTAGTACCTATCACACCGGTCTGCGGTGGGGACTATGGAACGTAATGCACGTGAAGTGCTCGCCACGATTTCTGGCCCAGAGTAGGCGCTTCATAAATGTGAGGTATGAGACGAGAAGCAATAAACCAGATATGTACAAAAGAAAAAAGTTCTCTGGTGTTGCCCAAATGGTGGGTGTGCATTATCTTTTTAAGTACTTCACTTCTTCCACTGCTCGGAGCATACTGGAGTATGAATTTTACAGCAAAACACAAGGGAAGGGAGTCCCAAAATATGCTGTAAGCATTTGAAAGGGAAGCCAGTGCTCCTAAATTTTTTTATATGCGTGGGGCGGGACAGCTGGCGTCAGAATCCGTGCAGCAAATATAGGGGCAAGGAGACTGTCCACTGTTTTCACCTCACCGTAGCTGCAACAGCTTGAAAGAGGAAGCACAGGGACCATCTCTGAACATTCAATGTTTAACCAGCCAGGGTACATTCTGCAGATACCTCACAGAGGGGAGGGTCAAGGATTGCAAAGCCTCAATGCCTGTCACCCATGGGGCTCTGGGCTGGCTCAGTCAGTAGAGCTTGGGACTCTTTTTTTTTTTTTTTTTTTTTTTAACATTTATTTATTTTTGGGACAGAGAGAGACAGAGCATGAACGGGGGAGGGGCAGAGAGAGAGGGAGACACAGAATCGGAAACAGGCTCCAGGCTCTGAGCCGTCAGCCCAGAGCCCGACGCGGGGCTCGAACTCCCGGACCGCGAGATCGTGACCTGAGCCGAAGTCGGACGCTTAACCGACTGAGCCACCCT